AATAATAATAACATGTTTATATAGGGCTTTTGGTTTTTGGCAAATTTACAAGCTAACTGTTGTTGGTGATCCACTTTTTCCTCAAAGACGTGTATTACAGTGATTGCGCTCGGCCACGCAGTCGATCCAGATTTCGGGACCTGAACGGGCTCTGTAAGCCTGCTAAACACTATTCCGTAGGGACATGCATTTTCTAGTCCAGCTTCTGATGAACTACCAAAGATTGGAAGAACGAACCTGCCTAGTTTCTGATGAATTTATCCGGAATGCACAAACGTTCGACAAACTGAATTCAGGTGTTGTCAAGTGAGACGCCTTTCAAGAATTTCCAATCGGTCATAGCAGCGCGATCTGTCATGATGATTTAGCGTGATGGTACATGTTAGTTCAGCGTGTTCCTCCGGATATACAATGTAACACACAAGTTATAAAATATGGTGACATGATCACTTAGCCCTAGTGGGGTCTCCGTAATTGCGCTGTCTACCATAAGTTCCTCATGTGTAAGTATGAAGTCTAGTATCGAAGGTTTGTTGTTGTTTTCAGCTCTGTACCTGGTAGATGAGGTGATGTGATTGTACAGTGGAATCATTGCGATAACGTCGTGCATTTCGTCCTTGAATGTTTCGCTGTGTGATGCCTATGCGACTGGGTCGTGCAAGTTAGAGCCGCGTGAGATTAGAACGTGACTGTAAGTTGGGAGTAAGCTTTTCGTCAGTAGTAATATTAGGCGGGAAGCCATCTCTGGAGTGGACGAAGGGGTACGGTGAACAACTGCCAAGAAGCAGTTTTTATTGTATCTGAGACGTAAACGGTACCATCGCGAATCGGGTGACCCTTGTCTCCGGATCATCTAGTGATTCCTATTGTAAGTCGTTGCGATGATATAAGCTTTCAGCAGCCTCTCTGTTAGGACCATTGTTTCGGAGAATTGATATTACCTGAATCGCGACCTCGGCATTCGTAACCTCTGAGCGCAACCAACTCTCGGTTCTGCAGATGAGGTCCCAAGCGTTTGTTGTCTGGTGCAACCTGAGCTTAGCACGTTTACTGAGAAAACTCAGGCATTAGTGTACGTGCAAGAAAGATGTTCAGTTCTCAGCAATGAATTAAAAATATGTGGTTCGAATAAGAGGTTGTGCTGGCCATTGTATGGTCGGAACCTGACCGTTTGTGTGGCATTCTCGGTGAGTGGCTTGGAGCTGGGTTCAGCAATATCATACTTCGCTCCCCTGAAAACTCTTGTCGCGCAATGCATGTGGTGTGGCTACTAGATTGCATAGGAAGGTTCCCACTTTTTCAGACCTAGTAGTGTGAAGTTCGAATGTGGTCCACCTTACATTTGCTTGCTTATGTGGCGCTTGGTTGACTGTCTGTTCCGAAGTGCTTGCCAACGTTCCAGTAAGCAAAGTGCCATCTGTTTAGTTTGAAGCTCAACGTTCATTATCTTTGGATCGCATCCTTTGTGGCTATCTGGTCTTAGCAGCCTTGAGGAGAAGCGTCAGTAACGTCGGCCGTCAGCAGGGTCTTACAAATATAGCACCAATGCTCCTGGTAGTGAGCTCCTACTACGCACTCATCATGTACATGAGACTGGGGGACGCTGTGGACAACAACGGTTCTAGCATCGGAGTCTGCGCGGAGCTCTTCCAATCTCTGGTTTACGCGTTTTCGCTCGCTCCACAGAATGTCTGGAAAGACATGGACCAAACAGGATTAGTTACGTAGACGAGCTGTCAAAAGCAAGACGGCTTTTAACATTCGTGACAAAGTATAGCTCGACCGGAAGAAGCCTGGCTTCACCATACCGTTTGGAACCTCGTCGACGGGTGTTCCTCGTCAGGTTGGTGAGCTTAGTCGGAACACCGAGCAGTTTGCTTATGGTGTTCCATTGGCTCAGGTCGTCCATCTTCTTTATAGTAAACGAATTCGACGTTGATTCTGGGACGCTGTCACTTATAATGGATAGGGCATCCGGCTGTTTCTGAGTGTCTTTCAGAGGAGTATGGGTTGGGGTTGAGAGACCGGGTGACTTGCTAATTACCAGTGCAGCATCGTCTCTCACATTAATTTTGGGTGTAGCGAAAGAAACTGTAACCGTTTATTTTTGGGTTCTAAGATGCAAATACGATCCAGCCGCCATTGTTATTGGCTTAATCCCTGATTTTGGCTAAGCTCGGTTTGAGAAAACTGGTTTGAGGGGAGTTATTACGAATGACTTACAGATAGTGTTCGGAAACCGCATGACGACCTGAAGTTGTGGCGAGGTGGTTACTTACCGTGTTTGAATATCCTTATTTTAGTGGAACGCCGGTCTTTGTGGATTTGGCGTACAGTAGAGTTCATTGTATAGTACTATATTACACATTCTGCAACGTTCGTTCCTCCTGAAGAGAGTTTGGTGTTTAATATTTTTGAAAACATTTCTGTCAGCCTTTCATATTTCTTGGACGATGTAACGACGGTTCTAACTATTGGGGTGGTATTGCACTTCACGCGGGACCAAAATGGGTCTGGCCTGCTGTTGTGCACCCACCCTGCGCTTGGATCCATTGTCCCACATTTGTCATGGAGCCGTCGGAACAGGAAAATCCTGTTTTGACCATTTTTGGCATGTTCCAAGGCACCATTATGCACAGCGAATTGGCCACTCTCGCTCATGGGGTGACGTGAACTTGGTGTTGACGATGACTTCTAAACCTTAGTTTGTGGTCAGATCATTTGTTTCGGCGCCAAAGGCAGTTTACCGACAGCGATGGCTGTTTCTCCGTTGCTTTCTCTCTCTCGGCCGCGCACCAAATGCTACATTCACTAATCAGTGGTCTCGCGGTTTTGTAGAAACCCACACGAAAGCTCGTCGTGTATTCGGTGACTTACGTTAAGCGACGGATTCAACAGAGAATTGATAAGCAATGGCTAGATAGCGATGTCTAGTGGAAGATCAAAGCAAAATGGTTTTAAATGCTGCATCCTTCAGCTACCGTTTAGGACCGTTTGAGAGCTTTCAGCTTCATTTTCTGCTTGAAATCAAAATTATACCCGAACTGTGCAAGAATGAGGGGCTTGCACGCGTGAGGTTCGGTAAAGAGTGTATCAAGACAGTTAGCGGGAGAAACATTATGATGCACACAGTTAAATCCAAATTATGGTGAACACTGAGTAGCACTGGTCGAACTGGTTCTGGTGTGCGTAAGCGCAAAAATGTGTGAAGAGAATTGGAACGGGACTTCGGATGGTGTGAGATCATGGATAGTGTGCGGTCATACGATATGCATGCATTCATGGCGGAATATTTCCTCTTCAAAGGTGCATAAAGCACGTCCTTGTCTAGACCTGACTTAAAGTCAGGAAATGTGCTGCGTTTCAGAAAGCTGGAAAAATCATGTGATACGCAATCTGGGCTGGAAAAAGTACGGACACACAGTTGGGTTATCGACAGCAGTATAGTAAAAGGCCTGCTGTACCCATGAGGTCCTTGGCGTTATATACATATATATATATATACCCTCCTTCAAGATTATTAATAGCTTTTGGTGTGGTTAAAACTATCATCTTGATTAGTAGACATAAATTCCATGGGAGAATACTTAAAGAGCCCACTGGCTATTGATGATAAAACCATAGCTAAGAAAGCGAACCAGTACCTCGGCCTTCTTCGTAGAGCCTTCGGGAAGTTTGACCCTTCAGTCTTCCCAAAAATGCTTAGTGCGTACGTGAGGCCGCACGCGGAATACGCTATTCAAGCGTGGCAACCCTGGCTCAAGCACCATCTCACCGCGCTCGATACTGCACAACGTAGGACAACGAAAAGCGTCAGAGGTTTGACCAGCCTCCCCTACCCACTCAGGCTGAAGACCCTCCAAATATACAGTGGACGTTATCGGTGTCTAAGGAGCGATCTCATAATGGTGTACCTAATCCTGAGAGACCCCAACCACCCATGCCATTCCCTTCTAATACTCAGTCAAAACACCTCGCTAAGAGGTCACCAGTTTAAGTTAGTCACGCAGTACAGCCGCCTGGAATGTCGGCGAAACTATTTCTTCCTTCGAGTGGCACAGCCTTGGAACGCCCTCCCGGAACATGTAATTAATGCACCCACCTTATCCCTTTTTAAAAAACGCCTTGACGATACCCTGTCACATTTACACTACGGGCTATAGCTCATGACCACCAGATGCTGGCACTAATGCACAACAGACAGGGGATAGTGCAATAACCCTACTGGAGAATGAGTCATTCCAAACTCCTTGCATGAAATTTGATAAACGCTACTACTACAGAAACTGGATTACTGTATCCTGTCGACCCAAGATTGTTGCACACGAGTAAGCGTTGTCCTTGCTACCTTTTTATTTTTCTCGCCTATGATGTGAACAATAACCACTCCCCTGTTGCTTTGTGTGCGTACATTCTCATTTCAAACTCCCTCTATACGACAGTGCAGTTACATCTGTAAGCGCCCGAACTGAAGACTCCATTATCCCTTCGCTATCTTTTTTATCACGCCATACACCCTACGGGACATGTCAAGCACCTGCTTTTTTACCCGTTATAAATCATTGTTCATTGTTCATGGTTCATAGACATCTAACACTTCCGCCTGAAATGTCGCTAGAACCCAGCAAAAATAACGAATAAATACCTTAGCCGCTGGCTTTCCTTAAGTTTGACGTTCCACAAGCGCGTAGATATTTTATTCAAATTTCCTGAGTACTGTCATGTGCGACCACCGGCAGGCCACCTAATGTCTTATGTTTGGACCCTGGATTTCGTGCCAGGCAGGTAGTTGGGACGGGTTTGCAAATTTATATGCAACATTCGACTGTTTCATCTTTAACAGTATACAGTTGTTTGTATGTGATTCGAAAGGGCATGAAGGTACATAACCAAAGACCGAAGAACGAGACTGGCAGTATGCTTGAGTGAATAAAATTGTTTATTCTAGCTACATCCCTGTCTTAGTACACTCACTGACACAAATGTTCTTGTTGCACCAGAGGTTACATTGTGACAGCAACTCTTCAAATCGTACGTCTGATGGCATGGACAGTCCCAGGAACACCCCTGAACTGAGGGAGGAATGCACGACAGACACTAGTCTGACTGATGAACCCGGAATGCTTGGCCCGCGGGTAGAAGATACTTTCGCTGAGTTACCGCCTGCCAAAGGGAGTCCTACAGTCGACGAACACTTTCGACAGGAATCAACCGCTCCCCGATCAACGGATGATGGATCTGCCGGCCCTTCCAGTAGAAGTAGCTGCAGCGAGGCTCCCCGTATACAGGCGCTGCGGAATCAATTACGGCTTTTAAGTGAGAAACTACGGCCCAGGCTTACTCCTTGTTGCCATTTAACTGCCTCAGAGCTGTGTTACGTGTGCCACCAACGAAGGGCTAGGAATGTTTCAGTGAATTTAAAGGATGAAGCCCAAAGACGCGAACAGGCTGAGGAGCAGATACTTTTGGAGTATCAACAGTTACGAGCGGAAAATGAAGCCAAACGAGAAAAGGTAATTACTTATTTATCCCGCAAACTACCGCACAGTTATGTTGAACGTGAGGGATAAACATGAAACTTAAGACTTTAGCATAAAAGTTACTTATTCACTGTCGGTTCAAGCAGCTTTGCATTTTTAAGCACATGACGCCGTATCATATTCCACTTTTGGCTAGGTGTGTATCTGCCCGTCTGATAGTAGCCGGTGTTGGCACAGATGCTGCGTTAATGCAGTTTCTTCACCGCCTCTAACTTATGCCAGCTTGAATGAACTCTAGTTGGGTTTAGGACACTTGTTTGTTCTTTATTATCCAGTTACTAGGTAAAACTTTTGTCGTTGACATTAGAATCCCACAAATTCGGGATCGTAGTATGATTCGATGCGCCCGCTTTTCCCAAGACACATCTGCAGGTATGGAAATTATCATCGCACAAGTGGAGTACACGGATTAGGCAACTCGGGCAGTCAGCATTTGAGACACATGTACCAAAGCGAATCGGCTAGCTCTGGTTATTAGGGGACGGGACATCCACTTTAGGACCTTCTGTATCGCTGGTTAATGACCTTCTCTTTGTGTACCATGACATTCAGATAATTAGGTTTGGATAATCTAAACGGGTGATTGAACCATAATTTATACCATAACATCTGAAAATGTGCAGGTGATTAGATTACATCCGACCCTGGTCACGCTCATTATTCATTTTTCAAGGGGTATCACACGCATTTTGACTGCGGATGATGATCTTCAAGTAGTAGCAAGTACGAACAGATGGGATATTGAGTCGGTCTAAATATGAGCCTATCGAGTAACCCCTCGTATGAGTACTTGGACGCGGGATCAACCCTATCAGGTATCGTTCGACGTTGGTCATAAGGATCGAATAGTATTTACCATAATTAAGCCGTTCCTATTTTTACTCAACTCTTATCTTTACTCAGTAACCTTTGTAATGAGTTTCAACCAAAAAACAGTACAATTCTTCAGATCCACATTGGATAAGCAGTGAACGGCTAACTGCTTTTTATGCTAAGTTCGCCACCACATTTACCCAATTTCATAAGCTATCAAATGACTCTGGATTACTGCACAGCTCCTGTTGATTTTCTTGTACATTACAACACGGAAGATATCCTGATTCTTCTCAAAGGGCATGCGTCTTATCTACAACCTGATGTCCGTCTGGTTGCAAGCATTTCCTTTGTGTCACATTCTCCTATGCATCGTGTACTATATGCGATTAGCAGCAGGTTTTATCTTATAGTGTGTTATTCTAGCCTTGACCCAAGTGATCTATTTTCCTAACCTGTTCGTATTCTTTAATTTCTTTGTTTAGACTTATGTTAGGACTAACAGACAAGACCCTCCTTCACAGATTGCTTTAATCCATGGGAGCGCACACCTGGGCTGATTACGTCGGTATTGTCTCAATCCAAATAGCGCCGCTCCTTTCGACTGGCTTGAAACTTAGTTCGTCATGGTTACCAGACATGCGATACCAAACTGGCCATCAAAAACAACGATATTCGCATGGTAGTATGCAGGAAGCTGCTAAGATTACTCCGTTACCTGATTGCGTTGTAACCGAATGACAGCGAACAAGCCGTCGCATGCCTGAACTTGCTTCACTAGGTACATCCGGCATGGGTGCGCACTTAACATGAATATCTACCAGGCGATAGCATTTGAGTAAATTTTGACTTCAACAGATTGCTAATTAGGGAAGGTGAGATACATTGGGCCAGGTTCAAACATTGAATCCACCATGGGACAGGTTGCGAGCTATCAAACCTTTAGTGTATATCAGGTGTCCATATCCTTTCAGATTGTACATCGGTGTGTGATTAATCGCAACCAGTTCAAAAGGATTTAAATCATCACAACATTTGTGCCGTGCCCCTAAGCGCATGCCATCCCCGAATCCCCTTAAATGTTGATGTGGTACAGCAGTACTGTCAAAAGGGGTTCGCCTACGCAGGGCTATGTTTGGTTGATCTGAGGGAATATAGGTCAGTTCCGAATGAGAAGTAGCTCACCTGGATCCCCCGCTTTTTCTCTGAGCATATATTGCATAGGAGATGTGTAGCGCAAGTCTTTCCTGATCCCTCTTCCCACGCATTTGTGCTGCTGCATTTGGCATTCACAGTGATTGGGAAATCCAGCAGAAATGTCACGGTTGAAAGCATTGCTTTGTTATTCGACATGGGAGGTGCTGAAGTACATAAAGCAATAAACAGATACCTTTGGAATGTTTCAGAACGACTGAGAAGAGTTAGTGAAAATAACTGGATGTTTACTTCGGTTTGACAAAATTGAACCTATGTGGGAGCTTCAAGATCGACGACGAATTATTGTTCATCTATGACATACGGCGGTAGTACATAGTCATGAAGTCAAGCAAAGCTGCCTCCAGACCGTTGTCAGGGGAGACGAACCATAATACGAAGCAGAGTATATCGGCCATAAGCTCATACACATGAATCACATGATACACGATTTATAGGATGACAAACAAACGAAAGATGCCTACAAAATATTGTCTGCGACATCAAACCGCCTCCCGAAAGGACTCAGAAAGCGCCTACTGGCCACAACAGAAACGAATGCGATCAATCAACTCAAGCCATAATTGTGTAAACAGCCGGTAGTTGTGCAACTTTAACCCTACCGGTGCCCTACCCTGGTCAGCTGCCTTCAGGTATAGCGGTCAATGGTAGCAGGTTCAAATAGACATCGATTGCCACGGTTCATCCGGTCGCGGCATTCGCGTCAGATCGCTGCATGACTAGTGATACCTTGTATACAAATGATTATGAAGCTCATAACTGTAATTGTAATTGCCTGGGAAGATTTATCGAAAAGAACTTTCTTCGCAATTTTCCTTTTGACATTTCGTAGGTATCAATCCATTTGCTTCCAAACGTTCAAACACTGTTCGAAGTGTATTTAAATATATAGCAGCCCTGCCGTCAGAAACCAGGATGGCTATCGTCAAAACAGTTCGTGTACTACTAACCTATTAATTGCACTTGATAGTTAGATTTAAGCAGTTGATGATAGAGCAGGAGTCGATGTCATCTACCTTGAATTCTCAAAATCGTTTGATCGCTTAGACCAAAGAAGTACCCTTCAGAAGCTTCGAAACAACAGCAGTGGCCACCCAATCCTGAATTGGATTAGCAATATTCTACACAAACAACCATTGAAGGTGAGAGTCCGAGAATCACTGTCCAATGCAATCGACGTGGTGTGTGGTGTATCACAAGGCTCGGTGCTTGGATGTCGTCTATTATTGGTGTTCATTAACGAATTGGCGAGATCAGTTGCTTGCGATTTCCTATTTTTGGCGGATGATATCAAAATATAGCGAAGGATCAGATGACCGGACGACTATGAACGGCTCCAGTACGATCTTAACACGGTGTTGAACGGGTCACTTCAAAACGCCCTATCATTCAAGGTAGACAAGAGTCGAGTTATGCAATTACGCCATAGACATGACTACACATATTTGCTCAGGACACACGGATTGCAGACCAGCGAATAAGAATGTGACCCTGGTGCGCTTGTACAGCGTGACCTCCACTTTCCAAAACAGGCTGAGGTAGCTGCGAAAAGGGGGCAACCAGCACATCGGCATACTGCGAAAGGCATTCGGGAGATTTGACCCATCAATCTTCCCAATGATACACAATTCACAGGTGCGCCTGCAGGTTGAATACGCTATCCAAGCTTGGCAACCTTGGTTGAAGCGCGATCTAGAGGCGTTAGAGGCACCACAACGAACAGCAACAAAGAATGTAAAGGGCCTGTGCTATCACTCTTACCACCGTGGGCTGAAGTTGTTAGAAATTTTCAGCGGACGTTATTGAAATCTGTGCGGAGATCTCATTACAGCACACCAACTAGTGAGTGACCCCAACCACGCATGCCGCCATTTGCTGAAACAGTCAAAACGCGCAACTCAGGGGCAACTGCATGAAATTGAGGGAATAATATAGCCATCTAGAGTGTCGATGTAATTACTTTTCCCTTCGGGTTTACCAACCCTAGAACGCACTCCCGGACTCAGTTGTATCCTCTCTCACCCTGGAAGTATCTAAAAACGATTGAATGTTGCTCTTAGCTCCCAGCATCTTGTTACTTAAAGTCCTCTATTGTGGATTACGCCAAGCATACCTTTTTACAGGAGTTATGTATCAAATTGACCCGTGAAAAACTATATTTTACTTTTCTCACCTTTCATATCAACGACCACTGCATCCCGGTGTATTTCTGAACGTTTATGCTCGATTTTTTTCATTTTACACTGATGTAATTTATCAAAGCATTCATCTCGGCAGACGTTTGGTAGATGACTCAGATATATTTTGATTTCATCATATTCACCCCAACCGTCCTACGGGACGTGTCAAACACTTACTTTTATCCCGTGATAAATCATTGTTCATTTTTCAATGTTCATTATCTAAATAAGCACAAGTAAAATGTATATTCAGTGTAAGTTTGCAATTTGGAGTCAAAAGGTTGTAAAGGAGACAGTGAAGCACTGTTTATAATGGAAAGTGCAGCCTGCGTATCTAGTTCCAAATCGATCAGTTCATTCTCGATCATCAATCGAATCGTATATGGAGGGCACTTGTTGCGTGATACGGTGTTCAAGTAGATGGAATTTAGCTCGTTGTCTGGGTCTTCCAGAAAGTTTTTCTCCGCAAGCAGCAGCTCATTATGGCTCTTCAATCGAGTGAGATGATACAGTGGGGCTGCTTCCGATCTGCACAAACTGGCTAAGTGGCCCATTTTACCAAACTTCCGGCAGACGCTTTCTTTGTATTGACACTCAGAAGCACCAGGATGTTGCCTCCCGCAGCAGTAGTACACGAACTATCTTCGAGTTTCAGCTGGACTCTGTGGTTTAGCAACTGCGTGAACAGCATCGACGACTGGATGGGCAGTGAATTCACGTACCTGGTGCGAGCTATTCCTCATTTGACAAACGATTAGACAGGTG